GGCCCTGCTCTTGATCCCACTCTCCTCGCAGGTGTGACTGGTGGGGACAAGAGACAGGGCCTAATCAGTGGTGGCCCCTTGGCTATTGAACTCCCGCCCTAGGGAAATTAGATCTGCCCCATCCCTCCTGACCTTCAGGAAGAAACTGAAGACATGGTTGTGGGACCAAGCCTTTGGACAATGATTCCCAGTGCAATAATGATCTCTCCGTGCAATAATGAATAATGCAAGTGATAATTGGAATGGCTCCTGGAATATGCTTTTGGATTGTACAATGTTAAGTAATTGCTTTAAGTGGGATATGTTTTAATTATGTGGTTTTAAAGTATATGTTGTTTTATTCTACTTATATATTTATGGCATCGAATTGTTCCTTTGTTGTGAGCTGCCTTGAGTCCCCTTCAAGGTGAGAAGGGCGGGAAATAAATGCAATAAATAATAAATAATATTTAACTAATCGTATTTCTGCAAATAAACCAACACAGGCAGTGCAGTTAGCGAAGGAGGCCCTGCTCTTGGTCCCACCTCCGCCTTAAGCGCGGTTAGTGGGGACAAGAGGCAGTGATTGCCCCTGCCTCTGGAACTCCCTTCCCAAAGAAGTAAAAATGGCCCCCTCTCTCCTCTCCTTTAAAAAAAACTCTTTAAAACCCATCTTTGCGCTTTAGCTTATGGAGAGGGGGAGGATTAAAACATCTTAATATATAACCTCGTTTGGACACTGGAAATCCACTCTGGCACTGTTTGGCTGTTGAATATAATCATTGCATTATTTATACAACATCACTCATCATCATGTTATATGTTTAATGCACTTCAATTATGTAGTTTTTATTATCGTGCAAATGTGTGTGATGAGGTTTATTTGTTTTTAATTATTTTTGTTAGTCTTTATAAGTTTATATTGAAGCTATTTATTTATTGTTTTGATATGATTCATTTGATTATTATGGCATTGAATGTTTGCCACTTTTGTTCTGGAAACCGCTCTGAGTTCCCTTGGGCAGATAGAGCGGTTACAAATAAAGTTGTTATTATTTCATACACAACAAAATTAGTACACAGTAAATAAGATCACTATGCTGCCTAGGGCTGTGTGATGTATCTGCAAATAATGCGTGTAGATCCATGTAGGGTGGACTTTTGCAGCTGACAGATGGTACTTTTGTCAGTGCAGATTGTTTTTAAGTGCAGACCAAGGTCTTTAGGCACTGTACCCAGTGTGCTGATCACTACTGGGACCACCTTTACTGGCTTGTACCAGAGTCTTATTTATTTATTTATTTATTTATTACATTTGTAGACTGCCCCTCTCAGCCCGTAGGCGACTCGAGGCAGTTCACACGTCTAACAACATCATAAAAAAACATTAAAACATTAAAAAGCATTAACACATCAAGTAAGTCTTATCATCATCATCATCATCATCATCATCATCATCATCATCATCATCATCATGAACACTTCATTGGTATGAATGAAAGCACGGCTTTAGCTAGTTCAGGCCCATTTATTTATTTATTTATTTTCAGTATTTATATACTGCTTTTCTCACCCCAAGTAGGGGGACACAAAGCGGTTTACGCATAGATAATGGCAAAAATTCGATGCCTTACAGCTACAATAGTAAAACCACACTTTAAACATAAATCATATTAAAAACAGTACATTACCAAATATTAAAACAGTTATTAAAACCATAAAACAATCTCATCAATCCCATCATTTCTCCCTCCTTCCATTCAAGCTTCTTGAAGAAATCAGAACTTCTACTGCAAATAGGAAAAATGGACTGATGCATGAGGAAAAATAGTCATTACAGATTTCTTAAAATGAAGCAGTTTCATGTTGCAGAGAGCTTCCTTGAATGAGAAATTTACAATTAACTTCTTTCTGTGAATAAGTTCTTTTTCCACTCTCAGCCTGGTGTGTATGGCCACCATCATGTTGATCTGGGGGCCAATTCAGTGCAAAATGCTCCAGTCTGGCTCCAGACTAAGTGACTAGTGTAGATTGCTTACTTTTCTGAGACTTATTCAAGTATGGCAGTGGCTGAATGCTTCTTGGGGTGCATCTGCACTATAGACCTAGTGCAGTTTGACACCTACTTAATTGCCATGGATCAATGCTGTACTACTATGAAAGTTTTTGTTTGGTGAATCACAAGCACTCTTTTTTAGGGAAGATTAAGGATCTTGCAAAACCATCACTCCTATGCTTCCATAGCATTAATCCATTAGAATTAAAATTGTGTAAAAACTACTTTAATTTTACAGTATAGATGTACCCTATGACTATGATAAAAGGTAAAGGTTTCTCCTTGACATTGTCTAGTCATGTCTGATTCTGGGGGGTGGCGCACATCTTCATTTCTAGGTCAAAGAGCCACCGTTGTCGGTAGACACCACCAAGGTCATGTGGTTGGCATGACTGCATGGAGCACCATTACCTTCCCTCTGAAGTGGTACCTATTGTTTTACTCACATTTGCATATTTTCAAACTGCTAGGTTGGCAGAAGCTGGGGCTAACAGTGGGAGCTCATCCTGTTCCCTGGATTTGAACCACAGACCTTTTGATCAGCAAGTTCAGCAGCTCAGAGGTTTAACCCACTGCACCACCGGGAGCTCCAGTACGGCTATGATACCCAAGTTTATTTAAGGGAGAAATTTAAGCTTAAAATGAATTCAAAGAGACAAACACCCCAGCAAGAATGGGAAATCTCCTGACTGAGCTCTACTTCATCCCAAGATAATTAAAAAGTAAAACAAGAGGAATAAAATGATTCTAACAACCAATACTAGAATATAGTCTTCCAGGCTTCTCCAACTTGGTATATACTGGATGTTGCAACCCCAGTCAGTAAAACTAGAGAGCGAGCATGGTATAATGGTTTGAGTAGTGGGCTAACATGCTGGAGACTAGGTTTCAAATCCTCACGACCTTGTCACAGGGCCGCTGGAGTTGCTCTGCTTCGGCGAGAAGTGTGGGGAACCCAGCACCCCACGCCCTGCATTGCCTGGCTCCAGTTGAGGGCGATTGAATGGGGAGGGGGAAACTTGGAGCATGCAGCTTCCTCCCATGGATTCCAATGGCAACATGGGAGTCCTTCCATGTTGCTGTGCTGGCAACATGTGCCAGCTCTGCCCTCCTTTACCCGTGGAGCTGTGCTGGTATCATTTGATGGGAGTCAGGGGGCTCTGTGGGTGACCTGGGCTAAACCGCTATGCCGCTGATTTCAACCCCATGTGAAGAGGTTGAGGGCTATGAAACCCACTAGATTTCCTTGGGCAAGTCGCACACTCTCAGCCTCAGATGGAAGTTATTTCAAACTTCTTCTGAACAAATGTTGCCAAGAAAACCCTGTGATAGGTTTGCCTTAGGGTATTAAATGACTTGAAGCCAGACAATAATAATGACAACAAAGTCTAAGTCACCCGGAGAGGCCCAGGTTATGTAAAATTACAATATTCTGAAAATAACCCATGGGAAACAACAAGAGAATGTGAAGGAACAACAACAACAACAAAAGGCGAGTGTTTTGGTGGCAGAACCTGTCTAGAATGTTATTTGGACCACACTGTTATTAAGTGACTACAATGATTTCTTATAACTTCTGGAAATTCCAGGATACCTTTGATATTAACAAATATTAAGAATGTAAAATATTCTTTGGTGGATCAAAGGTTTAGATATAATCGACATTCTACTTCCCATGGCAAATATGCATTGTGCAGAGCTGATGGCCACCTTTCTTTTCTAGCTTAGGTAAACTTTGGGTGGAGAAGTTTCATTTAGATATAATAACTCGCAGTTTATGAAAGGCAGTTGTCAATCATTCATCTGATCTAGCACATTGATGCAGTACTCCAATCTGTGTTGGAGGTTTTGTGGCCAGTACTGATTTTCTAGCCGATGATATAGCTATAAAATGTATGTGTTTCATAAGTATATTTGCTGCATGTATCGTTACTATATTTTTATCTTTAAGGGGAAAATCTTTGAGATGTATCTGTCCAGAAAACATATTCTGTGAAGCAGCTTCCTTTCTTCCTGGAAACACACACACTAGTAAATGCCGACTCCTTTAATCATAGAATGGTTTGGGGTGATCTGGCAACCACCTGTGTGATTGATGCTCCTGCACAAAAGTGTAGAAAATCTCTTTTTTTTCTCACTACAGCCTCACATATCTTCAGCTCAGGCTTTCTTGGGTTAAATTGCTCAGCCCTTATTCACACATACTCTTCTGCTGGCATTTCCAGTGGGAGTTTTCCTGTATGAGTCGGGATTTATTTTTAAAAAGTACAAAAACAAAGCCGGCAGAATTGTGATTCACCCTCATGTGCTTTTATTTGAAAAGGGCCTCCCATTTTCAAGGGGGGAAAGGCAGCAACAGAATAAATGGTTAGGAATTTCCCTTTCACAGTTGCCCACTTGCCTGCCAGCCCCCCCTTGTTGTCACCTCATGCATCCTTTCTAGTGAGCTTGGTGTCGTCTTTGCTGCCGCAGGATTGTTACAGATACTGTGCTTTGTACAGAAGGAGTTGAAGCAAAAGAGTTCCCTGCCAGTCCCTTGAGTTGAAGCTACGCCCCTTTTGCAGAGATATTTGGTTTCTGATTTGAGTTGGGAGGACCAATCAGAGGGCTTGGAGCTGGGTGGATTTTTTTTTCTCTTTTTCACCGTACTGTCAGACTGCAACCTTCTCCCACTGCTGCTCCTCTGGGCAGCCTTCTTTGGTGTAGTCCACAGCAGCAGGCTGCCTTTGCTCACAGGCATCTCTCTCTTTCACACATATAAGGCACTCTCTCGGTGAGACACCCAGCTCTGAAACCTGTTTGACGGCCAGTGTGCAAAATGAAGCTGTACTGCTTTTAGCTTTGACAGAAAACTACACAAATCAAAAATCTTGGGCATCCAGGAACAGCAGCAGCAGCATTGAGGATTTTCTTTTTACCACCAGCAGTCTGAATGATTTAAATGTCATCCATAGACATTTCTGCTCCGACATCGTTTTTCCTGTTCACAGATACTGAGATTAAGGAGCTTGGCTTCTCTGAGGCTTGTATCCAAGGGCATCGGCTGTTAGCATACTGAGCTACATCTGCTTCTTGGCTAAGACCGAAGAAAGACATCTTAAGCCTGGAAATCCTGCCTGTGCTTTCTCTCTAGCACGCTTGCACACATACACTCACACACCCCACAAGAAGCATATGCTGCAGCAGGTTCTTCTTCCGTTTACATACTGATAGTCTGCATCACTTTCTTAGTTCGGGTGACAAGATAATGAAGTAAAAGTCTCCCTGCCTCCAAAGAAGAGAAATTGCAGGAATCAGCTACTGCAAGTTAAACAGCAATAGCAGGAAAGAAGAAGGAAGAGGAGGTGGTGGAGACGGAGAAGGAGGAAGAAGGAATGAAGGATACTGACTGAGAAATAAGAAACAGGTGGACGGCTGTGACACCATTTAAAGAGAAGGCTTTCTTCTGCCTTTTCCTGAAGATTTTCCTATTTGTTCATTCATTCATCATTTGGGAGTGAAATTCAGCAAGACCAGCTTGCCTGCAATCTCCTTTCCTGGTTGCTACTGCTGCTGCTTGCTGTCAGTCCTGTTGCTCTTGCAGAAAGAAACCTGTTAATAAAGCGGAGAAGAGGAAAAAATGCCAGCCATTCTGGTAGCCTCCAAAATGAAATCCGGACTACCAAAACCTGTCCACAGTGCTAGTCCTATTGTTCATATCCCAGCAACCAGGACCATCCCACAGCCCTGTTACCTGAAGTTTGGGAACAAGGTGGAGGTGAACAAATCCTCCTATTCCAGCCAAATCCCTCTCAAATCCCACCATGGCCATGAGAATGCTGGAGATGTCTTCCCTACAAAGAAGAGTGACTCCATAGAAAATGGCTTTGACACACAGGTCAGCAAAATGGGTGTGAGTGTGATAATGGTGTTGGTTATGCTTGGTGGAAATCTGCAGAGAATGTCCATGGTTGCTGATGATGGAGACTGCATGGTTAAGAGGGTGCATACTATATGGGGGGGGGGGGGCATATGTGCTGTGGAAGGAATAGTATTTCTGCAAGTGTATGCTAGTCCAGGAAAGCATTCTGGAATAATTTTATGCTTTACCATCATTATGCCGGGTGTGTTTTTAATTGTAGTAGCTAGAGTATTTTACAGTGGCTAAGCTATTGATAGTTGTGTGTGTGAGAGAGAAAGAGAGCATATGAGCTGATATGCATGCTTTGTTTGTGGGGTCCACACCCAGCTTGTTGTGTTACAGGTTGGAGTGGGTGTGTTTTGTACATCTTATTGCTGGCACAAGAGGGGCTTCCTGTACAAGCTACATTTTATGATTAGAGGGTTCTGTGCCTATTTGGGTATCATGCTGCCATATGTAGCTATGTTTCTGGGAGTATGCATGTGTGGTAACATGTGTGAGATGAGGGTGAACCACGTTCTGTACTATATTATACATGCATATCCTGATGACAAGGCACATGCATTCATATACAGTGTATAATATGAATGTGTGTGGATATCACCAACATTGTCTGTGCCTCAAACGCCTGGGGGGAAATAGGTTAATTGCAATTTTCTCTCTGTAATACATTCCTCTATTACTGTCATTTTTGATAAAACTATTTATGTTCCACCTGAAATGTTCAGGTTTCACTTGAATCCATATTTGGGCACCTGCTGCTGTATATGGCGAGACACAGCTACTGTCTGTGTTATCCATGAGTGCAGTTGTATTTTCAGCATGAATCGGATTGTCTTGATATCACTGGTGCTTTAACATGCTCAATGGCAATGTAAGCAGGTAGGGAAAGCTAACACACTGCTGGGTGAGCAAAGCAGATGGCCTGTTGCCACAAATGGGACTAATTAACATTAGCTCTACAGAGGATGCAGCGTGGCCTGATCGTGAATTCTCTGAGCAGCTTTGCATGCTGCTTGCCTCCGCTGCAGCCGCATGAACCTGCTGGCAAGTGGCGCAGCCATGTTGCAGTGTGAAGTTAGATGCATGAGGAAGGTTTCTATTGGTTTCCTCTCCCCCCCCCCCCAACCCTTCCACATAATACAGGGGAATACTAGGTCATGCCTGCAAATCTAGGTTTTGTAGTCTGTGACCTCATAACCTATTCTGCTAAGGCATGACAGCGTAGCTGCTGAGCGAGCTTGGCCTCCTGCCCTGCTTTTTAGGAGATGCAGCATTTTCCATCCTGGCAGACAGGGCGATGTATTAGGCTTGACTTGTGTGATGGTACCAGTTCCTGAGGGCTGGAGAAGCCATGAGGGGGACATGATAATGCTGGTGTTAGGGTAGTGACAGCAGACAGGCTGACCTTTGCATCACATCACACTCCAGAGGGAGGCACAAACCTCTTTCGATTTTCTATATTGCCAGCCTTTCAAAAGCATCAGGGAAATTTCAACTTTTCATACTCTGCCCCCAGCCCCCCAGGCAAGGAGGCAAAGCTGGCATTTTCAAGAATGATAATATGGGGTGGGAATATGACTCATTTCACGACTCTGAATAAAGCTTTAAAAGTCAAGCAAGGGTCTCTGTGTCTTTCTCTCTTGTGGATCCCATGATCTATTAAGTGTGGTGTACTGAATCATTATATGATATACATTTCAGGAGCTCAAAACTGAATCAATTAATACTAATTGGCCGAGGGAAATAGGGTAACATGCACGCTCAATCTATAGCTCAAAGCCTGGGGAAGTGTTTCACATTTGCAAATATCTATTGTTGTAATAGAGTACAAAGCTCAGTGAGAGTTTGCTCTGTGGGACTCAGAAGCAGTGGTCATGCCCTCACTGATGGCAAGAATAGGAATGTAACTCTAGGGCTAGAGTCACATTCCTATTTGTACCATCAGTTCCTAGGCCTTCTTTTCCCCACCCTGCCCTTCTTTCACAGTCCTTCTCTGGATCAACACAGCCTTCCTATTTGGGGCTGTTCCTTATATTCTCCTTTACAAAATATGTGGGTTTTTTTTAATCAACTCATTGCAAAACCATTGGGAAGGGACTTCATAACTGGTGCATTTCACTGACACTTGATGCTTAAGAGTTCTATGACTGCAATCAGTGGGAACTCTGAAAATAATTTTGCAGGTCACAACAGTTACATTGTAACTATCACTGTACTTTTCCCAGTAGTCACACGTTTTGCCTTTTGGGCTCCATGCCCCTTTCACAATGTAACACATTATGTTAGACTATAAGACCCTTGTGGGTAATCTCTGCATCTGGAATGAAAAACGGTGGTAACCAAGGACTAGGCTGTAAAGTCTAGCAATTTTGCTCTGTGACAATACAAAAGCATCAATGCTTAAAGTACTATCCTCCAGGGTACATTTAGCAGAAAAAGGATTCCTGAGTCAGGACTCTGCAATAGATTGTGAGAACCTGGGGACAAGAGTAAGGATGTTGACCTCCAGGCTTAGTGGTGTCAACGTCATAGCAATACTCAGTGGATAAAGGACTAAACCAGATGACTTAACATCATTTTCAATGATGTGTTACTGAAAAGTCCCTTGGATACAATAAGAATAAGGTTTACACCTTTGATTTTCACCCACTTCTACTATTTTAAGCTTGACAAATGGGAAAAGTCCGGCAATTTTCACCACACACTATCATTATTAAATCACCACTCAATTTTCTTTGAAAATTCGACAACCATGTGCTGTACAAGCATTAGAACAGTAAGAATTAAGGTAAGACTGTACATCTATACCAGTGGTTCTCAACCTTCCTAATTCTGTGACCCCTTAATACAGTTCCCCGTGTTGTGGTGATCCCCCCCAACTATAACATTATTTTCGTTGCTACTTCATAACTGCAATTTTGCTACTGTTATGAATTGTAATGTAAATATCTGATACGCAGGATATATTTTCATTCACTGGACCACATTTGGCTCAAATATCCAATACGCCCAAATTTGAGTACTGGTAGGGTTGGGGGGGGGGGGGTTAGTTTTGTCATTTGACAGTTGTAGTTGCTGGGATTTATAATTCACCTGCAATCATAAAGCATTCTGAACTCCACTATCGATGGAATTGAACCAAACTTGGCACACAGAACTCCCATGGCCAACAGAAAATATTGGAAGGGTTTGGTGGGCATTGACCTTGAGTTTTGGAGTTGTAGTTCACCTATATCCAGAGAGCACTGTGGACTCTAACAGTGATTGATCTGGACCAAACTTGGCATGAATACTCAAGATGCCCAAATGTGAACATGTGTAGAGTTTGGGGAAAATAGGCCTTAACATTTGGGAGTTGTAGTTGCTGGCATGTTTACCTACAATCAAAGAGCATTCCGAACCCCACCAACTATAGAATTGGGCCAAACTTCCCACACAGAACCCCCATGACCAATGGAAAATACCGTTTTCAGATGGTCTTTGGCAACCCCTCTAACACCCCCCTCATGACCCCCCAGGGGTCCCGACCCCCAGGTTGAGGAACACTGATCAATACCTACATAGTCTATATTTACGTGACTTCCTAACTCTTCCCACATATAGGATCCAAGGTGGCTGCTGTGATTTACAATAGCTCTCCAACAATCAGAGTCTTTTTCAGAATAGGAATGCATTTGTTTTACCTTGATTCCCTATCCTTTACCCTCAGCCACCCACTCAAATGTGTCAAATAACAGATGATGAGAAAGACCTTCCAGGGCACTTGAGTTTGTATTAATTTAAATCTGGTTTCTATTTGTACCACTTATCTTTACATCCTTCACAACACTACACTACAAATGACTCATATATTTTTCTGACAAATATGATGTGTGTATCTATTTTAATGCTATTACTGAAATTTAACTTCACAGCTTCTTAAAGATTGTGCCGGAGATCAAGAACTACATTATATTGAGCTCTGCCATTGTTATAGTTGTCACTATGTTTTCACACTAAGTCAGTGGGTACTCATACTGACACCCATTCCCAGCTGACTCAGTACTGCCCAACTATTAACTTAGTTCCAAATCCATGCCTTGCTTATGCTTCCCTCCAGTTTTTATATTGTTCATCTGCATCTTTTCTTCTACTAGCATCCTTAATTTTAGCACTATTTTTCCTCAATGCGGAAGAATACGGTCATCACTAATAGTCAACATGGATTTATCAAATACAAGTAATGCCAGACTAATCTGATTTCTTTTTCTATAGAGTTACAAGCTGGATAGATGCAGGAAAAGCTGTGGATGTAGTGTACCTGGATTTCAGTAAGGCCTTCGACAAAGTCCCCCATGACCTTCTGGCAAACAAACTACTCAAATGTGGGCTGGGCAAAATTATGGTTAGGTGGATCTGTAATTGGTTAAATGAACGAACTCAGAGGGTGCTCACCAATGCTTTCTCTTCATCCACACAAGTGGAGTGCCACAGAGTTCTGTCCTGGTCCTGGTCCTATTAATGACTTAGATGAAGGGTTAGAAGGCATGATCATCAAATTTGCAGACGACACCAAATTGGGAGAGATAGCCAATACTCCAGAAGACAGGAGCAGAATTCAAAATGATCTTAACAGATTAGAGAGATGGCCAAAACTAACAAAATGAAGTTCAATGGGGACAAATGCAAGATACTCCACTTAGGCAGAAAAAATGAAATGCAAAGCTACAGAATGGGGGACTCCTGGCTCAACAGAAGTACATGTGAAAAAGATCTTGGAGTCCTTGTGGACAACAAGTTAAACATGAGTCAACAATGTGATGCTGCAGCTAAGAAAGCCAATGGGATTTTGGCCTGCATAAATAGGAGTATAGTGTCTAGATCCAAGGATGTCATGCTACCCCTCTATTCTGCCTTGGTTAGACAGTGCCCAATTCTGGGCACCACAATTCAAGAGAGATATTGACAAGCTGAAATGTGTCCAGAGGAGGGTGACTAATATAATCAAGGGTCTGGAGAAAAAGCCCTATGAGGAGCATCTTAAAGAGCTGGGCATGTTTAGCCTGCAGAAGAGAAGACTAAGAGGAGACATGATAGCCATGTATAAATATGTAAGGGAAGTCATAGGGAGAAGGGAGCAAGCTTGTTTTCTGCTGCCCTGGAGACTAGGATGCAGAGCAATGGCTTCAAACTACAAGAAAGGAGATTCCATCTGAACATTAAGAACTTTCTGACTGTGAGAGCTATTCAGCAGTGGAACTCTCTGCCCTGGAGTGTGGTGGAGACTCCTTCAACTGGGGCTTTTAAACAGAGGCTAGGTGGCCATCTGTTGGGGGTGCTTTGAACACAATTTTCCTGCTTCTTGGCAGGGGGTTGGACTGGGTGGCCCATGAGGTTCCTTTGAACTCTATGATTCTATGATTCTAATGCGATGCATTCACAGCTACCAACCATCTCTATTTCCCTGTTGAATCTGATGTGGAAAAACATTGCCCTGTCCAGGCTTAGATAGGACCTTAGATGCCTCTCAATGGGCTTCCTTCCATGAATGGAAAGATGTTCTCCTCTTTCTCCCTGATACTACTTTACTTGTTTCTCTTTCTGACTTCATTCCATTGGCTCTACCGACACATGGAGAAAGATTTCTGTTCTTTTCTCCTATCGTTATTTGTTAGCTCAGAGAAAATAGATGAATGAGAAACATTTGCAAAGAGGAGAAACAGCAGGACCAGAAGGCTCCAAAGATTCATAATGGATCTCTTTGTTGTTCACATGGGATCTTGATTGCTGCCTAGCCATGCTGAGGCATAATGCCAGCTCTATTTTGTCTTGTCATTGGGGTTATCAACATTGCTGTTGCTTTATACACTCATATATCTCATTGATGTCCTGCCTCTCTTCCATCATGGAACATACAGCATTGTAAGGGCTTCCACAGAATTTCTCGTCCATTCAGAAACTAGTCCAGAGATGCTTTAGTTTCTGTGAGTTACTGCATCATTACGGTTCAAACCGAGAATTCTGCATTTGAACTTTGAGCTACTTTTCCTTCACTTCACCACTTGCACATCCACAAACAACATGAAAATGGTTCCCTCATTCATTTAGAAATGGGATATGGGAGAAGCAGTAAACTTGCCACATCTATGGAAAACTCATCATCACTTAGAATAAGACCAGAATTATCATTTTCTTTTCATTAGAGATTGGCAGAACCATGTAGTTTTACTCTGGAAAGGGATTTAGCAGACCTGGATCTTGCTTATCAATCTGCTAATTAGATAGATACTGCTCTTCCATTGATGGCAACTTAAGACATTTTGCTATCTAAGGGGAATCTACATGGGCATGAAAACTCGGATTCATCTTAGGGTCCTTCCAGACAAGATCTGATCCCAGGTTTTCTGCTTTGAAGTGGATTTATGAACCTCCACTGCCAGATAATCTGGGATAAACAGAAAACCTGGGATGAGATCCTGGGATATAGGGTCTGTCTGAAAGGACACTTAAATTGACTCCTCGTTGTTCTCATGATGTTCCTTTACCTGCAATGAGTATTGTGGGTTACCTTGGGTTAGAACAACTTTGCCCCACTTTAGGAAAAGGTGGGGAATACTCCAGAGTTTGCTTGAAACCCCAGGATATCCTGTGCCTTTGGAGCCCTCTTGACACTTGGATCAGGTCTGGTTCTGATTAGTCTGCTGCCCAGGTGGCACACTGCTGCTATCACACTTTTACTGCACTCAGCCTAGCAGCTGGTAGTTGATGGATCATGGCTGTATCACCACCATCACCACTACAAACTGGCCACCTTGCTCTATGTGAGTTCTTGATATCAACAAGGGCATCTGCATAACTAGAAAGAAGATATGGAGATCATTCCCTCCTTCCTGGAAACATGAGCACCACAGCTTATGTCAGAAAGGGCCATCCACAATGGGCAGGATCTTGCGGATGTCTGGGAGTGGTGATGGCAATATGGAAGGTGAGGTGAGGGGCCAGTGGGACTAACTCAGCACTATCAGGGTGTGTGGCTATGTCTGGGGCTAATCCTGAGCATTTCTGCTCCAAACTGGCCATGGATTAATTCACCAATGTAATCTCAAGCTGAGTTTTATAATAGAGTGGTGTCTACCACCACTCCACATACAAAGTCCAGCTCAGTCTTTCTTCACTAGTAGAGATGAGAAATTATTCCCAATGCAGGAGACAGTGAGAAAGCTTTATGACATACAGGTCTCTTCAGAATCTGGCTCTTGCTTCCCATCCTATATGCCCACTGCCTCACACTATTCAGTGTGAGGGCTAATCCTACTTTGCTTTCTGCAGCTCATTCTTCCCCCTCAACTCCATCTCTGTCCCACCCAGTCAATTTTCTCTGGTGGGCAGTAATGTTTATGCCCCTTCCAGGAAACTCAGTCAAAATGTCAGCCTTGGCCCATTGTCACCCACTTTGCCTCCAACTTTAAACCTCTTCTTCAATTTATTATACAGTATGTATAGGTTGAGCATCACTAATTCAGATTTCTGAAATTCAAAATACTCCAAAATCTGGAATTGTTTACACAGGTGGCTGAGATAGTGACATTTTTGCTTTCTGATTATTCAATGTGCAAAATTATTTTTAAAATATTTTATAAAATTACCTTCAGATTATGCCCATAAAATATATATGAAATATAAATGATATCACATTATATACACATATATAATTAGAATCATAGAATCATAGAGTTGGAAGAGACCTCATGGGCCATCCAGTCCAACCCCCTGCCAAGAAGCAGGAAAATTGCATTCAAAGCACCTCCAACAGATGGCCATCCAGCCTCTGTTTAAAAGCCTCCAAAGAAGGAGCCTCCTTCTTTGGGTCAGAGAGTTCCAATGCTGAACAGCTCTCACAGTCAGGAAGTTCTTCCTAATTACAGGTTTCCAAAGTCTGAAAAAATCAGAACTCCAAAATGCATCTGGTACCAAGCATTTTGAATAAGGGACACTCAACCTGAATATGGTCCAAAAGGTGGGTTCCTGTTATAGACAGGAATGTGTTCTTTAGGACTCTTGGTTGTGGGTGGCTGAGATTCTTACAGTCTATTCAATGAACAATTCAGACAGAATTTAATACAACGGTTTGTTCACTAAACAGTTTTTTTTTTTGTAACGACAAGCATAAATGCTGGTCTACTACATATTCTAACAATGGTAGAATTTGCTTTAATCCTTTTTGAACTCTCTCCTACTTACCTCTTCCCTGTTTCTATTGACTGTTCCAAAACCATTCCTCCTAAAACCAAACCAAACCCTACACTGACAAACCATCAATTTTCTTTTATTTAACCCCTTAACCCACCCATCTCAACATTCTGAGGGCTGTGATTGGCTGATAACACAGGATGGACAGGCCTTGGGACTCTGCAGTCTGTCACTTCTGATATTTTAGCCCAGTCAGGAGAAAGGAAAAAGCTTTCAGAGAGAATCCTGTTCCAAAATCTACCCCACATACCTTCACCTCCTGTCACAACTTTATATCTGTTTGGTCATGACCTTCATTCTGAAACATTGACATGTCATCATTGTGGCCCGTTGCCCCCTTTTATGTATAAGGAACCTGGTTTCCATGTTCTTGTTTGTATAGTGATGTGCAATTTCTATTCTGTTTCACTGCCCAGATCAGTTTGTCATAGCTTCCACCTGATATGTGGATATATAAATGTTGAGTTTTGCAAACATTAAGGAAAGACATTATCTGGCTATGCAGACAGAATTGTTGTGGAAACATTTAACTTGTTTCCACAGAAACCTCCATTCAGTAGAAAGCAAGATAGGGATCTGGATACCAGAATGGGATTCAGGGGTTATTTCAGCAATATTCTTCCATGAACTACTATTGATTTTTTTCTTTTGGTGGTGTCTAGGACAGACTGCTCCAAGTGTTCCAGAAGCATATTTTATATGAAAAAATGGAAGCAGGTGAACAGAAGAGAATGATTGTTGTTATTGTTGTTGTTGTTGTTAACTGCCATCAAGTTGATTTTGAGTCTTATTGACCCTTTCAGTGAGAAACTTCCAAGTAAACAACTCTGCTTGTGTCTATCCATCTTTCTCTTTTCCTACTACCTACTACCTCACTAACATTACTGTCCTTTTTAGAGTGTCATATCTTCTCCTTATATGTCTAAAATATGACAGTCTTGGTTTTGTCATTTTGGCTTCTTTAGCACTTTTTAGCACTACACAATATCTATATAACCTTTTCACTTTTCAAAGAAGATGATTTGCTTCCTATCGCCATTCTTCACTCAAACCATACACAGAAATTGGAAATGTGATAGTATGGAAAATTTTAATTTAGGATGAACTGTATCTTTATACCTCATGACCTAATTCCTTCATAGCAAACCTTTCAAGTCCCAGTATACTTTTGGTTCCATTCAGGTCTGAAAAATCTTGAGATGTAAACTTCTCTTTCCACTTTCTTGACTTTCTTCCATAGCCATTTCAAGTCTTTGCTTTTTTTCTGCTAGTAGTATGGGGTCATCTTCATATCTTAAATTGTTGGTGTTCTTTCCTGCAATACAATACATGACTATTTTGTGCTGCTGTCTCATAATTAGATATTCGCATGTGGCAAGGTGATGCTTAAGCCACTTGGAAATAAGCCAGCTGCCTCACTTTGTCTAATGGTAGTTGAGGCGGATATAAATCCTGCTCATCTTTTTTGTTTGTGTACACATATACAATATACTTGTACATCCATGGTGGTGGTAGGGGAAGAGAAAAGAGATAGTTTAAAATGTTGTACTCCCTGGTAAGTATTGCCCATATGATACTTTTTTTCATTTCTCTTTCTCTATGCAGAATTTGTATGACTAAATTCTATTTCTACTTCACCAGCCCACATCTTTTCTGCCCACCTTCAGTAATGCACATTTCTTAAGGAACTGCCACTAATGCACTTCATTTTATGACAGTGACAGAATTACTATTGGCTTTGGGCTTTAAATAACCAGGCATGTGGGAGTGAAAATGTAAATTCTGATAGTTTTAGAATCAATTTGAATGGAGAGATGGAGTTGTAGTGTGTGACAGAAGCCAACTGCAGTAAGCAAAGTGAAAAGTCCATGTGGAAGCTGGAGGAAGGATGCAGATATATATTGGGCAAAAGAGGTGATGGACTGAAGAAATAAAACACAAATAATTATGACTGGAGAAAGGCCAGAGAAGTACATTAAGAGGTATGAAAGATGTTGTGTCAAGAAAGTGCTCCCAGTAATCAGTAATGAACTGTTTTGATGCTTGCAAATAGTGTGTCTTTGTTGTTTTTGTGTACTTTCAAGTTATTTCTGACTTATGGCAAACCTAAGGAAAACCCATTATGGGCTGAGGATGTGGGACTCACTCAGAGTCACCCAGTGGATTTCCATGCCCAAGCAGGGAGTCAAACACTGGTCTCCGAGCTGTAGTCCAGCACTCAAACTACTAGACAATGCAGGTACAAATGCCAATACAGAGAAAATGCCACACTAACAAAGAATGGCAAGGGGTATCCAAGTTTGAATATAATGCAGATATACAAGGGGTATTCAACAGGGCTGTAGCCAGAAAAGATTTGAAAATTTGGGGGGGGGGGTAGGGTCATGCTGAAGCAAAGAGCACAGCAGGGGGCAGAGCAGCCTTCAATAGCCTACAGCTCCGCCCTGTCAACCACCTCCACCAAGTCTGGCCTCCTTAATGAGAGCATTCAACACTTCCCCCCCCACCTTCGCTACATCGGCTATTGCTGCAAGTAATGACAGTGTGAATAAATTGTCAATATTTGCTTGAGATAGTGCTTGCAGTTCTGGAGGGACTCTTAATTTTATCATGATCTGATCACCATAATCAATATATCCCATATGCATGGGGGTATTGGGATAATGATACAAAAGGTTTGCTAGGCAGACCCTCTTTCACTCGGACTCAGCCCCCCCCGAAACTCAGCCCCCAACCCCCCCTGAAAAAAATTTAGCCCCCCCCCCAAACGAAATCCTGGCTATGGGCCTGTTTGGAAGGCTTTCAGATTCAGAGAATATGTGGCAGTCAAACTCATCTTGACACCTGAGCCTTGTCTACATGAGCCACAAAACACCAAGCAGCCCAGGCATCTCTCCTTGCTGTCATCATGATGTCCAGTCTTTAGTGCAGAATAAACTGGGTTCAACTGTTTTAGCCCCATACTAATGCAAATTGGGGTATGCCCAGGCATTTAAATGAAACACTGTAGCAGACCTGCACTTCAAGGCGTGTGTAGATAGTAAACTGGCTCAGATGTTAATTGGCCAACTGTCTACATGCTGCTCTTCTTCTCTCTGGTCGGATGGGTGCCTTTGCTGATGTTAGCACAGGGTGTTAGTGATGGCCAGGAGCTCTCTGACAGCTCTGTCATCATCTGGAAGCAGCAAGGGCAACAGAGAATGTAGGGTGATGATCCAGTGGGGCTGAATCAGTTTCAGCCTTGCTGGGCCATGTAGACTCTGTCCGGATGCCCACGGGGCTAGTCCAGAGTATTGCTGCTTCAGACAGACTGTAGTTTAAGCAACATGTGAAGAGACACATGTACCCCTGTTCACCCTTGGAAGTAAATATACAATAATAACACCTTTTTAAAAACCTATGAATTTGTTGCCCTTTTATACAAAAACCCACTTGATGATTGAAGCAGTTACTTCACTTTGGATCATGGTAGGGTTGGAAAAAATGTTAATGAAAATCCATACATGAATTTTTGTAGACTTCTGTTTGTTTGGTTTTTTTTTTTAAAAAAGTCTCAGACTCCTGAGGAAATGAGATGGAACAAACTTAACCTTGGAAAAATGAGTTGCTGAGAGAAACCAAAATTGACAGATTTATTCATCCGTACTTACCACGAAAGGCATCAGGGTTTAGATCAGGAAGTTCTCCATTTGAGTTCTGGGTGATTTTCACTCTAATAACCTTGTGCAAAACTCATCCCTTTGAATCCCTCTTCTTGATCTGCAACCAAAGAAGAAAGCTTTTAAAACTTGGGGTTATTTACCTAGCTAAAAATATGCTGGTCTAATATTATTTTTAGAATCATTTATATCTCAAGCATAGAAATTGCCAATGTCAATGTGTATTATTAGGCATGAACTGTTGGTACATTTTGTAACAGGAAGCTGCTAGTTTTCCATTCACCAAGAACTGGAATGCAGTCAAACACTTGTCACTTGACTTATTTGCATGCCTCTCTTTTTATCTAGAAAAACGTTTCTTCAGAATGAGATTCTACACTTTCATTTTTAGGGGGACAGACTTTTGATGACTAGGGCTATTTTCCCCTACATACAGAGTTGGGCAAAGTGTGGGTTTCAAGACATTGTTGGAGTGCAATTCCCAGCATTCCATTGTTTATAATGGAAAGGGCTGGTGGGAGTTGAAGTATGACAACTTTGATCTTTCCCAGGAGCAGGAATTCTGTAATGCATCCTCATACATAAAAAGGGGTCTTCAATGCCCTCCATTTACTATTTATTTATTTATTTACAGTATTTATATTCCGCCCTTCTTACCCCTCAGGAGACTCAGGGTGGATTACAATGCACATATACATGGCAAACATTCAATTCCATTAGACATGCAACATATATAGAGAGACATAGAGGCGATTTAACATTCCAGCTTTCTGGCTTCATGAGGGTATGCTTGATTCCGGCCACAGGGGGAGCTTCCACTTCACCGTCCACATGTGACATCAAGTCCTTGATGGAGTACTTCCGCCTTCTTACTCATGCTGCTGGAAAGTTTTAGGGTGTCATAAATTAGTTAAATTAGGCTCCCCACATAAAGCGGTACCTAAATTTCTTACTTGACAAATGTCTTTGGGGCTGCATAGGTCAACAGCAAGCTAGACTATTACTGGTCGGGAGCTCACTCCGACCCAGGCTAGCTTCAAACTCATGACCTCTCAGTCAGTAGTAATTTAATGCAGCTGGCTACTAACTAGCTGAGCCACAACCCAGTCTGCCTCAAAATACTTTGTATGGTAACAGGGTTTGATAACAACAATGTTCTTTTGCTATCAAAATGAAAATAAGTTTCCTGTATAATTCCTGTGAGAATTACAGCTAAGCTCAGATAGTACAGGGAATCTTGAGAAAGGTAACAGATGATGTGATTAGTAATAAAAAGATCTCAGTGCTACATCCCTACAAGCCTCAGCTCCACCACACCACTATAACATGATTTTATCGGGATTTGCTTTCCATTTTTATATCAAAATTGATATCTAAATTGTCTGAAAAGTCCAGGAAAATCAACAGCATTGTACTCCCCCTTTCCTTTCCCTAATGAGATAGTTAACCAGAGCAGTTAAGGCTATTTTTGGTCCAAAATTGAATCAAATGCATCTAGATTTCAACCAAAAATAAATGAATACAAACCATAACCACTTTCTGGAGTATCTAACCCCACAAAGGCAGGAATTTCAAAGCAGTGGCTGCATTATCTTTCCAATCATATCACATTATCTTTATTGCCACACTAGTCACAATATGGACTGGGACTCTGAATAGCTGTATGGCCAAGATTTGAACCAAGTATACCTGTCTCTTGGCCTCACTTGCTATATTACATCTACTCTTATAATAAGTTATGATTTCTTCCAAAGTTCAAAGTAAATATATTCATTTTATACATGTTTAGGACCTTTAAAGCTATATTTCCATAGCACCCATTTTATTTATTATTTATTTAAAACATTTATATTCCGCCCTTCTCACCCCTCCTGGGACTCAGGACGGAGCGCAACATATATATGGCAAACATTCAATGCCAGGACATAAAACCATAAATATATACAAACATTAAAATCACTTATCTCCACTTTAAAAGTTGCTTAAAAACCATCTCATGACACCATTTTGCCTTACTGCACTGCCCCAAATGCTTGGCCCCACAGCCAGGTCTTCATTGAGCATCCATCCTATTTTATTGCATTATTCATTCAAAATAAAAAAGCTAACACGGATATGGGCCCGCTCCTAAACTTGGATACCTATCAAATGCCCAACCTGAATATATTAAGGAAACAGTAAGCACAAAACTGCTTTAAAATAAAAAGATATAAATTCATTTTAATTCAATTGTGGCCTAGGTATCTATATAACTACAAGGAACTATATTTTTGTATGGATAAGCAACTTGAGAATTTAAAAACCAATTTAGTGTGAATAATTCCATTATATTCAGTAATGATCGGCTTGCATGCTGTTGTTATCACCAAAGACCAGAGAAGTAATTATCTCTGAGATACTGTCTTTCAACAAAATAAATTGGAAGTTACTCTTACGTGTTTTATAGCTTCGACTAATTTTCAATCATCATTGAAATGTGTTAAACCAGTGAGGATTAAATATAGGTCTACATTGTGATGTTCTGTTCACCCCACACTTCACACTATGTTTCATCTGTATGTTCTGAAGGGCCAACTCAACATAAAGAAACAGGTTGGGCATTTGCTAGGTATCCAAGTTTAGGAGCGGGTCCATATTAGTGTTAGCTTTTTTGATTTGAACCAACAATGCAATAAAATTGGATGTATGCTCAATTTGCATGCACTGTCCTTTTGAGGTTAATGGGACCCATCAAAAATACAGTCTTTTTGAGGTTAATTGAATCCCTTTCCAGCCTCTTTGCCCCTCCAAACAGCTTAGTGCTGAAAGAAAATACTATAGAGAATTCAGCATTTTGACCAAGGGTGACAACCTGGATGTGGAGAGGGCAGAGGTCTTTTATAATTAATTGCATAAGCTTGTCATGCAAGGATAGAAAAGTTAATCAAGTTTCTCTACTAAACTGCCGAACTCATGTTGGCACCCCATGTATCATGGCCATTCTAGTAACAGGAGAAATACCTATTCTCAGCAATAAATCATCCAGATATTGCCCTTATATAATATAGTACTTGCTATCAGTAGGCCCTGGTGGTAAATGAGGGTGAGTCTGCTGAAGATGAATGCTTGCAGTGGCAGTCTTGATTTTGGCCCATGACCAGGAGCACTTGGCAAGCGGTGATATGCTTAGTCATTAATAGAAACCAGAATAGAATATGATCTATTAGCATTGTAGTTTTATTTCTCAGTGCCCTCTGCTGGTCTGTGCATGTGTTTGCATAATAACCAGTCTAGATCATACAGCTCCCTTGTGTGCCATCAATAGCAATTATTTGTAGCAATATAGACTAACACTTACTAAACAAAGAACCACCCATGCCAAACCTGACTATATCACTTTCATTGTAGGAACTATTTTTTTTACTATTCACACTACATTTTGTTGATCTTTTAATCTTTACTGAATTGCGAGAGCTTTAGTACAACATCTTGATATTGCCAGGCAGTGCTGCTTGGGTTTTTAAAATTCCAACCAAAATGGAATAATCATAAGTCCTAAAGTTCCCAGCATTCCTTGTCCATAGTAAGGGAATGGAGAGCTAAAAGAGCAAAGGGTTTTCTTTCTTCCTTGGATAATTAGCATCAGCAACAGGATAGTGAGAGTATAATCTTTTAATACCTACTTTCTTAGATAGTCACCATATTACACAAAGCCAATGAGGGGAAAACCGTGACTAAGACATACGAAAAATCTTATGGAGTTACAAATGTTGGTCCAAAACATGCACATGTACATATGCATGTCCACTATATATGTATCCATATATGTATGCACACATACTGTATAAAGTGCTGTGATAGGTTTGCTTTAGGGTTACTGTAAGTCAGTGGAGGGAGTCCTCCAGAGCAGACACTCTAACTTAATGCATACCAACATTAACATACACATACAAAGCACACAACTACATAAACTATTTTAAGAACCTTAAACTCATTGCCTGATGGTTTTTATCCCTTATTATACTACTTCCTTTAGATAGTAGCATATAACCGTCTTCTACTTTTATAACATTTCTAAATTGAAATTTGTTGTTGTGAAAAAATAATTAACAAATCCCAATTTTGTTGAAGATTATCAGCCATTTCTCCTTGATCAGCATATTTTATCCATCTCAGCTAATTCACAGATTTTTGTCAGCAATCTTCTTGTATTATGATAACTGGTCCTTTCCATCTCTGCACAGAGATTATTCTTGCTGCAGTTATCATATATTGTAGTGATCTCCAATGTTTTCTTTCTAATTGATTGTCCAGGATTTCCAACAAATCAAACTTTTTTGTTTTAGAAAAATTGCAACACGTAATGTGAGTTTATACATGTAAACTGTAAACTGAACTAATTTACATGATAATAGTCTGTACAATGCACAAATTAGATGCCTGGGCTTGAGGAAGTGGAGGATGGTAATCTGAAACATAAGTTGTTTTGGTGTGGAATCTGTCTTGCTTCATTCAGAGTGGAAGCATGACCTTACTACTTGGTGGTTCGTGCCATTATAATGCACTTTCAAGCTCAAAGGGCTACAGCAAAGCCATGACATCCTTTCCCAATGTAAACATTGAAATTGTAGAAGTGGGTTGAGATACCAGCAAACCCACCTCAAAAAGAAACAATGGCCATTCACTTAAAGAAAACAGCATCTTAAAATGCCATGCAATAATATTATTTCAACATAGGTGGCCCATAGTTCAAGGGAGGGATCCTGCCCCATAATTTTGGAATGAGGCTCACCCTGCTCAGACCATACATCACCCCTCAAATTTGAACTGTTTTATTGTTCTTCTTCTAGTAATCCTCATAAGATTACTCACCGGTCTGTTTAATTATTGTTATTATTAACATTTGAAAAGTCTGTTCCTTTTCCATTTAACATGAATTATGTCTTGCCTACCTAGCAATCAAGCACTTATCCTGAGAAGAAAACTTCTGAGGAGCTTATTGGTTAAAAAAAAACAACTTCCTCTTGTGAGTGGCATTAAGACAAATTGACCTTCATGGATGAGGCAGACTGTCATTTAAATCTTACCTTGGATGTGCATGAATAAATTTTCTTCTGGGAT